ATCTGCTGGGCGCCAGCGACCGTCGCGCGTCAGCGAAGGTGGATGAAATGGCCGTGCGCGCACGACGTCGGGTGCCGAGTATGGAAATGGCTAGTGCTGGCGACGCACGACCGTCGGCTACGAGTAAGTGAAGAAAAGTGCTGCGCACCGGACGCGTTCACCTGGTCGTGCGCGCAGTGAAGAAATTTATATGGAATGGAATCGAGTAGCGAATCGAGATTTTCTTCACTGCGGGCCTGACGGTCGGGTAAATAATCACTGCCTTAATTCAATGCTCATTTGAATGTTCCATCGGCTATCTTCCATGTATGAGTTTTAGGAAGTCATGAAACCGTAAAACTCGTAGTGTTCCATTCTGCTCTAGCTTGGCGCTGGAACTTACAACATGTTTTTCGCCACGTTGCCTTGCAAGATTATAGTGTACGTGCGGATCGGTTGTCAGCAATTTACTTCGTACAGATGTCAGTTATTTATAACGTCACCCGAACTGCAACGGCCTACGCTATATCCATTCATTTCGCGTTGACATGGACTTCAATTTGCCACTTCGAGTGCTGCTTTGTAATTGGAATTAATATTTCTACTACTCATCTATTCATACATATCGCGAATGATCGTACCATACCGAAGTAACGGCCAGGGCGATCGATGTTCTGTATTCGGATTATGTGTGTAGCGTAGTTACTATCCCACGCCCGCGCCTTGTCGGTTAACGACCAAACAAATACATGTGCGCGCCCGCCCGCAAGCGTTGTGTCGGTCCGTGACGGGGGCTACCGTGGCGCGCGCTGTGTGCCGTGTTTGTGTAGTGTGCGTGTGTGGTACGTGCCGTCGCGCGCGCGTTGTGCCTGTTGTCGTGTAGGTGCGTTGTGTTGCCGCGCGCAAGTTGTGTGTGCCTGGTACTGCGTGTTCGTACGGTGCTGCACATGTCACATGCTCTGCGCCTATCACAAGATATGTGTGCGGCTCGTGCAGACAGCCGACGCTTCCCGCGCTGAATGTGAATAAAATTGTAGTGATACAAGACCATAGACGTTCGTAGAGCGCGCGGTCCTCGAGAGGTTTTCCTAATCTATGAACCGTCTTCTATGGACCAAGTATACGTCTTTACGTGAGGACGTCAGGTTCCTGAATACAGACGTGCTTCTCAGGCCTGTCTGACCAGCTCCTATAGACGTTAGAAACGTCTAAATGTGGTCACGGACGTCTGGACAAAATAAGACGTCGAAAGACGTCCGGATGACGTCTGCTGGCCCGCTGGGCATCCCACTTACATTGATTGGTCACGTTGAAACCATTGTGTCAATTTTCCTACCGCGCGTGCATCGAAGTTAAGTGCTTAGCGCTTTGCGATATTTCAAACACAATTCGCCTAAATTCGGTGCTTTTATGCATTTTCAGCGCAAACCCACAGCGTTCACGACTTCAGTCGCGACTTGAACCGCAATAACCGGCAAATTACGATCTTCTAAGTGTCGCTAAGCGAGTTCGCTTTTGCGCTGCTCGCCAGCTCACGCATGCTGTGCGTTACTGCGCGTGACTGTCGTTATGTTGTGGCGTAGCACGTTTTATTGTTTAGTTTTATGATTAACTGCGCAGGCAGTCAGCCGAGAGTTAGTCTGGTGTAGCACGTTTAACTTTCTGGTAGCAGACCAACGTCTTTTTGTTGTTCACAGCGTACAGCAATTTTACGACGTTTTCGCGCTTCGTACTCGCTAAGGACTTTAAGGCATGGGTTTCTAGGAAAAGTTCATGAACGTACAAGGTGGAGTGAGCGCGTATGTGACGTTGGCGCAATGCGATTTCCATGACTCTGTACCCGGCGCTCGTGCGCACAATGCGATTTCCATCACTCCGTACCCGACGGTCGTGCGCGCAATGCGATTTTCCATCACTCGGTACAGGACGGTCGGGTAAATAATACGTTCCTTCAATTAATGCAGTTCATTTCGCATCTCGTACTTTGGCGGGCTGATGCTTTACAGATGAACATTCTTGGGAAGGACCCAGTGTTAAATGCAAAGACTAACATCAACAACACATGAAAGAACATTCTTTGATATGTGCTGCTTATGGTGACGTGATTTAAACATTGATTTACTCGAACTCAATGACAGTCATACTCATAGTTACACAAGGTAGAACGTCACGTAACGCAACTAATAACATAGTGCTTAAGATAAGTCAAATGTACTTATGACTTTGAAACGGGCAGTGCGTTATGTTATCGTATAATAGATGAGTAGGAAATATTAATTTCGAATTACAAAGGACACTCGAAGTGAAATTCGAATTGAACTCATGTTGAAGGGAAATGAATGCATATCGCTTAGCAACGTTGCAGTTTCGGGTGACGTTACTAATACTACATCATGTACAAGTACAATTGCTACGACCCGATCCGTACGCAGACATATTACTTGCAAAGGCAAAGTGCCAAAACATGTTATAAGTTAGGCCAAAGCTCTAGAGAATGCAACACAGGCAGTTTACGTTTGATGACTTTCCTAACAACTGATACATGGAAGATAGCCGATAGGCTATATAAGGTACAGCGGTAGCGGTACAGCGCTACAGCGGTAGAGCGGTAGAGCGTCACGTAACGCAACTAATAAGATAGTGCTTAAGATAAGTCAAATGTACTTCTGACTTTGAAAGGGGCAGTGCGTTATGTTATCGTATAATACTAGATGAGTAGGAAATATTAATATCGAATTACAAAGGACACTCGAAGTGCAATTGAACTCATGTTGAAGGGAAATGAATGCATATCGCTTAGCAACGTTGCAGTTTCGGGTGACGTTACTAATACTACATCATGTACAAGTACAATTGCTACGACCCGATCCGTACGCAGACATATTACTTGCAAAGGCAAAGTGCCAAAACATGTTATAAGTTAGGCCAAAGCTCTAGAGAATGCAACACAGGCAGTTTACGTTTGATGACTTTCCTAACAACT